CCTGCTGCAGGCCCTCTTTGCTAGGGTAAATGGCACCTAATGGGAAAGCTATTATCAGCTTACAGCAAAATACTTTTCTCTGCGTTATCTCAACTCACTTGGTATCTTTCTGACATGTGGAATACAATGCTGCTTTTCACTGTTCCACGTGGTGGAGTTTCTCCTCTAGAGAAAATGAGAAATTTTGTATATGAGAAGCTCTAATTTGGTGGCTCCACTAATATATTAATATAGGATTTTGTAGAAGGTATAGTACACATTTAGGCAGATATATGTATTAAAAATACATGCTAAAATGAGATATACAGTAGTTTTCATTTCTGTGAAAACAAGTAATAGGAAACATTCTCCTATGAGTATACTTGCTTTCTGTCTATCATCTGCTGTGCCTCTAGTGACATAACATGACCTGGAAGGTGAAATTATGTACAGAAACAGAGAAGCAGCATCAGCAAACTCATCCAGACACAGAGTTTGTCTGAATACCTGTATCTTTTCCAGGCACACCTACAGAATGAAGCAGTCCCTCTGCTGGTGGCATTGCCTGCAATGATTAGGAAGGAGCCCAGCAAAGACTAAACTCCCCTTTCCCACTTCCCTGAGTTGGTGAGAAAACCTTGACAGGAGTAGCCCTGAACTACTTTTGCTAATCAGAGGCCACAACTAGCTTTATGGATTTAGGAGAAAACATTATGTATGGGGACTCACAAATATGGGGAATAGTCATCAAAGAAGGAAGTAGGCAACATGCTTTTCTTGCTTCTCCACCACTTTTTTATCTACTTTGCAAACAAAGGGAGAACATGGTTCTGAAAGATCTGATATTGCAGGTTTACCTTGCTTGCCCTGTGCCTCGATTAAGATTATGTTTTGTAAGCTAATAAAATCACCACAAGCAAATTCTGGTCTCCTGTTTTTTCTTTACTTCCATAGAAATTAGCAGTACCTTTAGGTACCCTGAGAGTACAGAAGTAAATGCAATGTAGAGCAAATGAATATGCATGTGGGCAAACGCTACTTAGAATTACACTGGGTTTAGTTTAAAACCGGCACGTTGGTTTTGCTAAGCCTTGCCTACTCAATATAAACAGTGATCATAAACATGTCATTAAAAAGTCTTCCAATCATTATAACCTGGACTGATATCCAATGAAAAAGTAACACTAATGTCCACATCAACACTTAAAGTTTTGAGTTCAAACTACACCTAATGGTACAAATGACATTTCATGGTTTCTCCTAGTCCCATTGCATTCATCAGACTACCACAAAATGGCACAACCAGCATTCATATCATGGAATCCAAGGAGAACACAACAGCATTGACAACACACTGGCATTAAGGCACATTCATTCTTGTCCCATACTATTCAATATTATGACACTGTTAAGCCTATATTGTCAAGTGTATATGCTTCACATTAATTAATTTTTAATAACACTGCCCTTCTTCCCACAGCATTTTATCAATGACTACTACTTACTGTTAGATTTCACATTAATGGTTTACTTCTTGAATAAAATTAAAATCTCTATTACTTGTCAATCTTTTGATCTCTTCCTGTTTCAAAATTAGCACAGGTTTCATTCGTCCTAGCCTTCCGAAAATAAATAGCTTGCAGTACCAAATAGCCAGGAAAGGCATGTGAAACAAATAATCTTTCTCAATTAACTTACCCAAATGCATGAATGTAATTGAACCCACATACTAGAATTCTTTTTACTTGTTTCACTTATATTTCAGAGGAGCACTTTATTCTATGAAGGACAGCTTAAAGCAAGTATGACAATTACAAACTGTAAGGTGCACAAATATGTCTGGTAATAGAGGCCCTATAACTATAGGAAATAGGCTACCTGTTTGTGACAGGTGCACATTAAACACTTCAATAATTTAAGTAAATGGATGTCTTGCGCTAATCACTGCATTTTGTAATTTTAGAGGATGACCATCTATGAAAATCTCAATAGCAAAACATAATATTAAATACAGGATGTCAAAATTCTGCCTTCAATTACACTCATACAATCCTAGATGACCCTGTATACAAAATTTAAAGCATTTAAAAATTAAAACCAAAGTTCACCTTTAACATTCTTTCCAAATCCCATAGAGGCAGGAACTGCACTGTCTGCTTGTATTTTGCTATTTGTTTTCTCTTTCATGACTTCATCATCACTTGAAACATCATCAGAGTTCACCTTCTTTTTCTTTTTCTTTTTTTTATGTCGAGGAGGGAGCTTTTTCGGAAAGGTAAACATGGGAAATATCACAAGGAGCATTGCAATGGCACAAAGAAGAAATCCACTCCACCTAATTCCAGGAGACAAGAACAGAAATAAAAGCCAACACATTACATGAAATAAAAAAACCACAGTGATTATTACAGGCTGTACTGGCTGGAAAGACATATTTACAAAATATGGAACATTGACATTAAGAGTGAAGGATTGGATTGGGGGAGGGCCTTCATTGCACTAAAACCCTTAATTAGAAGATGTTTCTGTTGGCTTGTCTACTGATAAAGGTATTTATCCAGAACGCACCAAATATTATGAAATAGTGTCAGCTTTGAGTTCCCGTAAATTTTCACTTTTGGTAATTATTCAGTACTGAGTGCTGAGAAGTAAATACTCATTTTACTTTGCCTTTCTTGGATAATTCCCAGTAAAGCAATACAGTATTCCTCTGGAGAACATGAAAAAAGTTATCCATGGCATGAGAAGGTAAAATGTCCAAATGGATACATCAGGGCTAAATCTCTTCTGCTTTCCAGTGCCTACCTCTCACTGCCCTGACTGTCCAATTCTCTCCCTTCCCAATGAAGAGCTCCCAAAGCCTGATTGCAAACAACTGCCGTGTTGCAGTTCACACCAGGGTTTACACCTAAAACTTTGCAGCTCTGTTCTGTGACCACAACCTGAAATATCCCTTCACAAAGAATTCCCTCTTCTCTCCCTCTGTCCTATAAGAACGGGATATAAACAACTCTGCAATGATCCCTTGGCTCACATGGAATGACTTGTGACATGCCCACGGAAGGGGCAATGACGTACAAGATGCCAGAAAAGTGCCGTTCAGACTGCAGGCATGCAGTTATCCTCCCTGAGGCCAAGAAGCTTAATGAACTTTACCACAGCAACACAGATGGGTAAAAGGGCCTTACTAGGAAGTACTCTAGAGTTAACCTTCTGCAGTCAGAAGGCTGATAGCAGAGTATCAGATAACATAATTTCTCCTCTAAGTTCATCTTGCAGCGAAAGAATACAGGGAAACATGGATAAACTCACATAGTTGCTTCTGTAAAGAAGGACAACCTCAGAATTCACCCACAGAGTTCTTCTCATGTACTGAAAGTGCAATTCTCATTATATAATAATTTAATTGCACTGGGTTTACATGGCAAGGTTTTGGTAGGGGAGTGGGGGCTGCAGGGGTGCTTCTGGGAGCAGACACCATGAGCTGCCCCCATGTCGGACAGAGCCAGCTCCAGCCAGCTCCCAAATAGATCCACCACTGCCCAAAGCTGAGCCCATCAGCGATGCTACTGGCACCTCTGTGGTAACTTATTTAAGAAAGGATAAAAAATGCTGCCCAGCAGCTGTGTGAGGGGAGTGAGAAAACGTGAGAGAAACAGCCCTGCAGACACCAAGGTGAGAGAAGGAGGGGCAGGAGGTGCTCCAGGTGACGGGGCAGGAGATGCTGCAGGTGACGGAGCAGAAAGTCCCCTGCAGGCCCAGGGTAAGACCATGGTAATGTAGGTTGTTCCCCTGCATCCCGTGGAGGTTAACGGTGGAGCAGGTATCCACCTGCAGCTCGTGGAGAGCCCATGCTGGAGCAGACTCCTGGCAGGAACTGCAGCCTGTGGAGAGGAGTCCACACAGGAGTAGGTTTTCTGGCAGGACCTGTGACCAATGGGGGACCCACGCTGGAGCAGTCTGTTCCTGAAGGACTGCACCCCATGGAAAGGGCCCATGCTGGAGCAGTTAATGAAAGACTGTCTCTCATGGAAGGGACCCCACGCTGAAGCAGGGGAAGAGTGTGAGGAGGAAGGAGCAGCAGAGACAAAGTGTTATGAACTGACCGTAACCCTCATTCCCCGTCGCCCTGTACCACTCAGGGTGGAGGAGGTAGAAGAGTTGGGAGTGAAGTTGAGCCTTGGAAGAAGGGAGGGGTGGGCAGAAAGTGTTTGTAGTTTTGTATTTAATTCTTACTATCCTACTCTGTTATTAATCGGCAATAAATTAAATTAATTGCCCTAAGTCAAGTCTGTTTTGCCCATGATGGTAACTGGTGAGTGTTCTCCCTGTCCTTATCGCAACCTACAAGTTTTTCATCATGTTTTTTCCCCCTGTCCTGCTGAGGAGGGGGAGTGAGTGAGCAGCTTGGTGGGCACCCAACAGCCAGCCAAGGTCAACCCACCACACTAATCTACACTAGTCTTTGGAAGTTTCAGTGAAGTCAATCACATTATTGCAATATCAAATCATGACAATGAAAGACTAAAGCTCTTGCTTTCAAATCACAGTTTACAGAACTGTGGTGGGTTACCCCTGGTTGGACACCAGGTGCCCACCAAAGCCACTCTATCACTCCCCCTCCCCAGCAGGACAGGAGAGAGAAAATATAACAAAAGGCTCATGGGTCGAGATAAGGACAGGGAGATCACCCAGCAATTACCATCATGGGCAAAATAGACTCGCCTTGGGAAAAATGGATTTAATTTATTGCAAATCAAACCAGAGTAGGATAATAAAATAAAAAACAAATCTTAAAACACCTTCCCCCCACCCTCCCCTTCTTCTCAGGCTTAACTTTACTCCCGAATTCTCTACCTCCTCCCCACAAAGCAGTGCAGGGGGATGGGGAATGGGGGTTGCGGTCAGTTCATCACACAATGTCTCTGCCAATCCTTCCTCCTCAGGGGGAGGACTCCTCACACTCTTCCCCTGCTCCAGCATGGGGTCCCTCTCCCATGGGAGACAGTCCTCCATGAACTTCTCCAGCATGAGTCCTTCCCATGGGCTGCAGTTCTTCATTAACTGCTCCAGCGTGGGTCCTTTCTATGGGGTGCAGTCCCTCAGGAACTGACTGCTCCAGCATGGGTCCCCCACAGGGTCACAAGTCCTGCCAGCAAACCTGCTCCAGCGTGGGCTCCTCTCTCCACGGGTCCACAGGTCCTGCCAGGAGCCTGCTCCAGCGTGGGCTTCCCACGGGGTCACAGCCTCCTTCAGGCATCCACCTGCTCTGGTGTGGGGTCCTCCATGGGCTGCAAGTG